CTCTTCAGCAGCATTCCTACTGTCACTCTCTGCTCGGCTTTCGCCTTTTGATGTCAGCCTGAAGCAAATCTTTATTTACTGTGCATAATGGCATCATGAAAGCGTCACACTCGGTTAGTATATAATGCACATAGCGGCATGAGATAAGAAATGATAGAAGTTAACGGCAATGGGTGGGATGGCTGAAGGTAGGCGTCTAAGCGGATGTCCATTGGTGGGCGGCCCTTAGGAGGCAATCCGACCAATGAGCGGCCTTGTAGGCGCCCGCCCCCAACCATCCCACCCACTGCCTTTAATGGCAATGTATTTGTTTGCGTGGCTTATAACTTTTTTAAATCTTGCAGAATACAGGAGAAAAGCCTTGCCGCAAGCAAACACCCCGAGAGTTACATAATCATTTAAGGAGTCCCTATAAAGTAAGCAAAATTCCACTTCAGTATTATCAAGGCAGACATATGAATCCAGCAGACAAGTAGCGGGGTGGGCAGAGTGAGCGAGGGCAAGTTCAAGAGAGTCGAGACTGTCCGAAACCGACGTCGAATCGCAGTTGGTGCGTGACGAACACGGTTGATCAAGGCAGCATGAAGGAGTACGATTGGAGACAGTAGGTTGAGCAGTGTTCTGTCCACCCCGTTCTCCTCAGATGTGCTTGTATTTGGTGAATAGAAGGTGAAGCAGACGCAATGTACTCTGTAAGGCAAAATATGAGTAAAACAGGTACATATAAATAGCTAGTGAAGGAATTTTCTGAAATCTGTTTCGTACCTTAAGGTCGCCGTTGGCGATATCCTGAACACGACTGCGTGGTTTCGGCAGGCCCGCGTCATGCATCAGCTTGAACGCGAACGCCACATTTTTCACCTTCTCCTCGTGCGACGATACCTGAATATCGACAATTTGCCAATGCTCCAGCATAAATATGGCATCACTCATACAACAGTCGTTGAGGATAGGTTTTAGGAGCATCCAAACCCTCCCGCTCCCCTCCGCGATTCAAATTGGTGCAGTAATACCGCTTATGAAAGTAGAGGCAGGAAGCGGATCTATAACAATAAGGACAAAGGATGAAGCATTCAGTGTTGAATCCTATATTGGGGTGCGCCACGCATTTCGTCATCAGGAATCGTGTGTGGGAATTTGATGCGATTTTGGATACTAAATGACTTGCGGAGGCATGCCGTGGCTTATAAAAGTAAGTGTATTTACCCTCCAGGACAGCTTGGTGCCGCTGGAGGATGGAAGAGTGGTTGGTTGGATCGGACCCCGAGCTGGGATTTGGGCTGGATCGGCCTGTTTTTGTGAACGGCGACTTTGCACACGTCACTTCTGTTTAGGACGCAAGAAAGGAGGGAAATTCTCCTTACTTCGAGAAGAAACCTCTCTTGGCGATTCACCCAATGATGTTATGAATCAGAAGTATTGGAGGCATGTGCCGCCGAGAGAGAAACAGAATTAAGCACGGAGAGAGCATTAAAGGACGAATTTACGCTGGAAAGGCAACCTATTTCAAATTAACTTAGCGATGGTGAGTTGTACCACTTAAAAGGGAAAAACCATGAGAAACGGCCTAGAACCGAGAAACGGGACCCCTTTCTTTGCCCGTTTGAATGAGCATGGGGGATGGCTTCATCGGCTTGCTCTCTTCAACATACGCTTCTAACTATCTAATCACTCGTCACGATAGACATTGCGGGAGGTAGGTCGGATGATCGGTTAGGCTATTAAGCTAATATCTTTTGGCCACACGCAAGGATTGAGCTTATAGGTCGCCCCGAGTCATCCTTCGTGCAATTTGCGCTGCAGTCGCCCTTAAAATGGTCCGCGGGATCAAAAGCTAGGTTAATTTGCTCCTCTGTCGACTTCTTTTAATCGTGGAATTTGTTCCTTGAGGTGAGCGAGCGTGCGAGAACGAATTTTTGAGGCGGTATTTCCCTGGGGTGTCTTTCTGGTGTGCGAAAGGTTAGTTATGGCGCACTTGCTGCACATTTCGAAGTGCGAAATGTAGATAGTATATGCCATCTAAGGCCATAGCTTCATCTTACCAAAGAAATAATCTAATTGAATACAATTCAATTTTTTTCTCCAACATATTATTTTCTCTAATACGTGTGGAGTAGGAGCGCCCAAACTGAGTCATTGTGCTCAGAGGTGGCAAAGAGGAGTGAAACTATAAGAGAGTAGTGATACTGTGGGGAGATGAAAGGAAACATCCTCTCTGTAGATATAGCAGAACTTTGGTGTGTTTGTGTGTCTGTCTGTCTGTTTGTTTGTAACCACTAGGCTCGCACGCTACGTAGACCTAAGAAAACAGTTGGGGCATGGGTGTATGTCAACAGAATCGTCCGGATCCCGCGCTACTGGTCGTGGCCGCGACGTCGCAACTGCAGTGGACGAGTTTCTGTGAGCGTCATTTGAATTTGAATGTTACAGGGACGCCAAGCAGGCCCGTCCCTTTAATATTCAACTTCAATCAACTGCTCCAACCGTCAAATTCAAAAATCCCGCGCTCTTCGGAAAACTGCCGCATCGCGACGCCGCGCAGGTGGCCGCACCGGCGGCGCGACGACCGGACGATTCTGTTGACCGTCCCCATTGGGGCATGGTTCCGGATGGATAGGAAGTTGCCCCTGGGACGTGTAGAGTGAGTACAGGGCAAGGGTACGGTAGTGGGCGGAGCCCGGTGAGGTGGGCGGGGCTTACGCAGAAATCTCCGTAGAAATAAGCGAATCACAGTTTGATTGCGTAGTGTCGTAGGAGTTGAATTTCAGATAGGCTGAAGCATCGCGCTATTTGATTCCGAACAACTTACGTTTTTGTTCCGAACTTCGATGCCTAATGAGGGGAGGGGAGAGGAGGAGGTATGTAACCCGATTGAAACGGGAAATTCTCTACTTTCCCAATTCAGTCCTTCACCCAAAACAATATCTAAAAGAGCAACCCCTTTGTTCTCACAAAAATCCTCAAATTCGAGCCCTCCCCACTTTTAAATCACAACACCACAAATGAACGACCTCCCAAACAACACAATACGCGCCCCAAAATTGAAGACTACGCCGAGTTGACCTTGACACAGAGTCCACTAAAAGCGCCCGGGTGGTTTTCGCGTGCGGTATCGTGCGCAGCTAAATTGGTGATAGAAAAAATACAATGGGCATCCGGAAGAAGACTATGCAGCAGTAGGTGATGAATACGACAGGGAGAAAATAATGCATATAAGAAGTGCAGAGAAGCTGAAAGAAGTAGAAAAAAGGAGAAAAAACAGGAAGAGTCAAAAAGCATTGTGATTCCAGAGAAGAAAGAACATCGTTAAAAGAGTAAGATGAAAAGTAGAGAGAGAGTTGAGACAATATCTAAGGTTAGGCACTTGATATAACTGGAGGAAAGAGAGAAAAAGTGGAGGGGAGTGGAAGTGGGACAAGAGCAGAGTGCTGGATTTGGAAAAGCACGACTTCACCGAATTTTTCAGGCTTTCAATATCAAGCTTATCAAAGGGATGGGCTGTAACAACAACCACAATGTAACCAGTAATAACATGCAAAAGTAAAAGGGTGACAGTGCACGAAATACTTCTAGAGACCATATCAACAGCACAAAGGACATAGCCATCTTGAAACTGGGTTTCAGATCGGTCACAAAAGTGGTAATTCAATTAACGCAAGAAGTCTATGAATGTTGAAAAAGCCCAATTAAATAGATCAAAGTTTGTCAATGAATAAAGTACAGATAGTTATTCAGTTTTCCTCCCTTTTAGCAAATGCATGGCGGGTCTACCTCAGTTAAAGGGGAATCGTGATGCAGTTTTTCCAGAAAGCTGTGGTAACTCCAAGGAAGGGGGATTGTAGCGCAGGTCTAGGGTGGGGGAGAGGCAGACACTTGACATGTGTGGGATGGAATGTTCAAGGCTAAGGAAGTTGGCATCTGAAGCCACTCTAACTGGAGAGACCGCATGATTTATAAATATTCTGAAAACTCTACTAAACCTCGATGCGATTCTGAGTTTATTCGATGTTAAAGACGGATCGTATACTCCTCATTTAAGGAGAAGTGAAGTACACTTAATAGAATTTAAGAGAATGAGGAGTTTGCTTATTCTGGGATTATCCGGCGTTAAAAATTTAGTTATTGCATAGGGTTCAAGCCGGCTTGTAATAAGGTAGTATGGAACCATGGCATCAACTAGACTCGGCATGGGGTTTTACAGTAACCTGGACGGCTTTAGCCCATGGCTCCCGAGCTGGCGAACCGACTCCTGATCACCCTAGTCCTGCCAAGGGAATTAGAAAAATACTGTTCTGGGAGAAAATTGAGTGAAATTTGTACCAACTGAGCTTTGATTAAACTTTGGTAAGAAGTGGAATAAAAAATATTTAAAAAGCAGTAAGAAAAAGATTAGTGGTTCGGAGCATGAGGTTATTCCCCGCCACACGTCGCGCGGAAGATTTTAATATATCATCCGAAATCTGCCCAATATTAGATTACGATCACAAACCTCAAGATTGATCTTGTTGAGATGTTTATTGCAGAAGGCAAGCAGCGACGTCTTCACATGAGCCAACTTATCGGGTCCATAGTCGAACAGCGTATCGAAAGCGTCCCTTTCACCCTGAATCGGAGAGCGCATCACAATCTATCCTCACCGTCCCGTAAATTTTTCGTTTGCGCTTTATCTAAAATTTTATATACTTCTTGGCAGACACCGATCTCTGTTACCACATTCTTTAACCCTTTCCGGACCGCGCACTTTTTGCGCTCACGGCCGCATGCTGCGCGGCAAGCATAAATATCATATATTTAATCTGTATTCCCACTAAAGCCATTATTTTGTCTCGTTTATGTCTTTGTCATGTCTCGAAGAATATATAAGATTAATTTGACAGAAAACTGTTTTAAAAAAAGGGAAAGGGCCATAAAAAGGGAGGAAGGGACGAAAATTGTTCAAAATAAGTTGGTATGGAGAAAAAGGGAGTAGAACGTGCCCAAAACGATTGGATCCATAAGAATCAGATACGACGAGCAGGATATTTCACAAATTCTTCGTTTTTAAGTGTTTTCAAGCGAACTACAACTGTTTTCTTTGAGCCCAAAGTGGAAGTCCATTTACTCTTTGGTTATTTTAGAACCTAGATTAAACCTAAAGTCTAGGTTTTTTCATACATATGGCATGAGTCTGTTACATAGGTATGTAACAACATAAAATATTTTATCGAAAAACCAAACTCTTGGAAAAATCAGCTCTTGAAGTTCCTGACACACCATGTGTGTCAGGCGGTCCGGAAAGGGTTAAAAAAGCATTGGCGATAAGTAGCGCTTAGTGTACAGAATCGAAGTTCCGGATCAGTTCTGGCCCAGCTCAACCACGTTTCCAGGATAGATTAACCCATAGCGTAACGCGCGGTGAGCCAGGTGCATCATGTAATTACTCTTAGTAGAAACAGTTTTATTATTT